GAGAAAACTAAATTAATAGCCCTTCTGGGCTATTAATAATAAAAATCTGAAAGCTTTAAAATTTTATATTACGCCCAATGGGGCGTTTTTTAACGTTTTATGTGTTACCTTATTATAAATATCCTGTTCTTTGCACTTAAACCATAAAATTCAATTCAACAGCAGTATCACAAAATATTTAAAAGAGCTCATCTTTAGAATTTCTGATACACAGTCTCGCGTGCTGGAGATAAAAATATTTCTTTCTTCGGACAGTGTTGCCATAGCTCACTTTGAAATCGTGGAGTTTGTTAATTAAAAATTCTTTAATGTTTAACAAAATACGAAATAGATAATAAAACAAATTCCAGTTTCCAGATGCCCATATTTGAATGGAGGACTAAGTTATTCAAAATTTGATGTCTCTAGGTAACCTAGTTTTTTCACAGTGCAAGAAACACACAAACATTCATGCAGATTCTTCATTATTTAATTTCTTTAAATATAATGCAGGCCTCTAATATTAATGGCAACAATTTGAAAATTGAATCCACATTTATAGTGAACTGACGCAAAATGCCAAAAACAAATGTTTCAGATTTTAACAGTTGCCCTAAAGCATTTTTTATGTTTTCAGGCTCTCTCTGAGCTTGCAGTCTACCAGTCTGCTATTACACTTACTCTTACTAACTCATTTTTGGGGGTCTTCTTAGCTTTATTATTAAGCATCATTTTCTCCACACTTAGGCCACATACAATTCAACAGCAAAATTACAAAAATTTTAAAATATATGTTTAGAATTCCTAACAGAGCATTAAGTTTTGACATACATTTTTCTGTTTTTTTTTTTTTCCAAGTCTTTTCTCAATTCATATCAATGTTCAGTTTTCTTACTAAGATGGTTTTACAAAACTTGTTTTTTTATTATTAAAGTTTTGTGTGTTTTAATAAAACAAATTCGAAATCCAAAATTTAGGCTTCTAGGTGCTCATGTTTGGATGAAGGACAAGGTTATTCAAAATTTGATGGCTCTAAAGTACTGTTTGTTTTTCACAGTGTAAAAAACACATACATACATTCACACAGATTCATTATTTAATTTCTTTAAATATAATACAGGGCAATAATATTTGATTTCGGTTTATTTAATTATGGTAAAGCACATTAGGACTTCCTAAGGGAAACTGGCTCGTGTACACGTTACACATGGGGAAAACCACGAAAACGCCCATGCAGCCAGCCTGTTCGTGAGATTCAATATTTGGTGCCAACAATTTGAAAAGTGATACAACGCATTCAAATCCTTTTTGAGACTCATTTGGGACTACATCCCTTTTGGACCTAAAAAAAAGAGAGGGGTTCAACTGACATTTTTTTACCTCCTTTTCTCAGTTGCTGTACAATCTGCAATGCACTTTAGAGGAGCAGAATTTCTTTACCTTAAGGTTAGCAAAAAAAAAAAAAAAAAAAAAAAAAAAAAAACGTCTAGAGCAGCATTTCTCAATCAGAAGTGAATGCAGTGACCCTTTTATGTAACTGTTAAGTATTTAATTTCAGTTTATGGATACAGAAAACTACTTTTACTCAAGTTTTGGTATTTATCAACGTTTTCTATATTTTTTCTTGTTTAATTTATATAACACATAAAAATAATTTAAATTTAAATAAATTTATATGCACTTTTTGAGTTTGGGAATGAAAGGGGGTGATCATCTAATAACAGTGAAAGGGATCCACTGCATTAAAAAGGCTGAGTACCTCTGCTCTAGAGGCACTGTAAATGAGGATTCCTTCTCAAATACCAGCTTATAGGAGGTGGAAATGCATTTCTGTATCCTATCTTTTAAGGTTTCAGCATTCAAATCTTCCAATAGGGATGGACACATTATATTCACAGGGAGTTATAGAAAAAGTTCATGAAATGCTTCTAAGTACTGCCATATATTAAGAATCTTTGAACGGAAAGGAAGTAGTAAATGGAGACTAAAGAAAAAGAAGGAAAACATTGATCATGTTTGTAATCATGAAGAGGCAAATTTTGAAATTCGAATAAATTACAATAAGAAACACATAAAAAAATTGTTGTTTAATTTGTAACATGTCAAAATGCCAAGCAAAAAGCCTGAAAGAAAAGGTTAAATTGTTAAAAGATTTTAATGTTCTTGGTAATTACATCCACAGAAAAACTACATTTAAACTGGCAATCAAACAGCATTGTGCAATTTCCTCAACAAGGATTTATAATGTGTAAATAAAAAATACAAATGTCTCAAGGAATAGGGGAGGGGAAGATTAAAATCAAGAGGTTTGAAATTACTTTTTTAGAATAGTTTCAAGCTATAAAGCTAAAACCTATTTTATTTCTAGAGCTTTTTTTCACTTATATGCTAAATGCCAGAACAGAATTTTATGTTGCAAAAAGAGAAATCCTACACTGTTCTTCATAAATTACACAGCGAGAAGGAAGAAGCTCATCATCATGCAGCTGGTAACTGGATACAGACAATTTACTTGGACTGTTAAATGAATACACACCAAACACACTTTATAACACAGACAAAACCAGACTGTGTTACAGAAATTTACAGAATACATATTAACATTTAAAAGTAAAACAGCATTTGGTTTTTCTGAAAGGACGGAGTTATTGTGTTAACATACTGTTATGGGTTTTGTATTTATTAGATATTTTAATAGAATTGTAATTAAAATTATTTTATTTTAACATACAATGCAGTGCATGATAAATTTTAAGAGAAAGCTATGCTAAAAAAATAAAATATAAGAGCATGTGCATTTAACATTAAATAAATATCTCTTTTATTTGTATTGAAATTGAATAAATGTAATTGACTACTGTGTTAGCTGTAACTGTAACTCCATACTCTTGTTGGTTTCCAGAAATCTCGAGAAGCAAAGAAGTTACTATAACTCTCTTGCAACTGATTGAAAGCTTTAATAAGCTGGAGAGAGATATCTCAGCTCAGTTGTTGCTTAGTTAGCTGCTGTTTGTTATTGTTGATCGGATTAGCTCTCTCTGCATTGTGGATTGCATTCTATTTAACATTTTAGCAGTTTGAAGGATAACTACAATTATTATCACGTGATATTTTGAACACTTGTACGAATAATATCTCCGAGGAAAATCCCAGCATTCCATTATACTTCTTTTGATAAGAATAGATTTTATAAACATTTTATCGGACTTGTGCATTCAATCTATTATGAACCTGTATACACGCGACATTACATTATAAACGCAATAATTAAAAAGAAAGCACTGGTTATTGAGAAAAGCAGTAAACCTCGATATTTGAAAGAAGTCGAGAATTTTCCTAGCAAGAACTTATGGATGACAAGTTACTATTTTTTTAGATTTTTCTATTTAAAGGGACAGTGAACTTACGGGAGCAGCTTTATTAATTAGATAATTGTGCAGCGCACGCATCTGATCTCTCTCTGGAAAATATCAGTGTCTCTTCCTGCGAATACGACTTCTAACATTCAGCCTTTATTTTAGGGTGTTATAAAAGCTTTCAAATGCCATTACAGAAAAGATGTTCAGTAAAGGATAAACAGAATTGAACTTTGTGAAAAATGCAAGGCATTCAAAAGAGATAAGTAAGTCAATATCTCTTCTAGAGGCCCTGCATATTATACTCAATGTAGGGAGTTAATCCCTTAAAATTATTAAAAAACTTTTCAAAATAAATGTGGCTCTTATGTGGAAGTCTCACAAGAATTGCAAACTATAGCTAATATTTTAGACATCAACGGAGGAAGTTATGAAAATTCATTTTTTAAATATAGGTCCAATGAGACAATATGTATAAAAACTGACTATTAATGTATTAAAGGAATTGCAGAAACTGACAATGAAAGTGATACGAAAAAGAATGATGACACTCATCTAAAAAAGCATAACAAAATCTAAGAAAAATTCTTGAACCAAAAAGTGCTGTCAAAAAAGCTATCAGGTTTACGAAAGTGAGAATACAACTGAAAAATCTGTGAATGACCAATATGAAAATAATATCAAATAAACAAAGATAGAACACTTGTTTGTAAGAGACAAAATTTCAGCAGGAACAAAATTATAGAAATACTTTTACAAAAAAATTTAAAAATGAATTTTAAAATTGCACAAAAGTTTAATTTTTAATTATTATTTTTGGATTAATTAATGAATTAGCTATTACTTTACTTGAAATGTTCAGAACTAATATCACAGTTTGTAATATACAAAACACCATATATTACACTAGGCTGTTTAATAAACTTCGATAAGTTTGGAAGTGATTTTAATATGCGGTAGACTCTGTATTTCAAATAATCAGATGAAATGAATTCAATTTGAAGTATGAGCTTCATTACATTATTAGCTTCTAACATTCTGGATTAATTTTTCCTTATACAACATTTCATAATTTATTCGTTTACATTTTACATAAGCAGGCTTTCTTTAATGTTAATATGCATATAATTTGAAATATTTAATATCCTTAATAACTGCTAACTTCAGTTTTGTTAATACTACATACATTCCTTATATTGTAGGTTATAAGTATGTATTTGTATATGAGTACTCTAGTCCAGTGCTCCGCAACCGGTGTGCCACGGCACACTGGTGTGCCATGAGTAGGATATAGGTGTGCCGCAATCAAATACATGTATTTGACATTTTGCAATTTTTTATCATGTATTTAATACACAATGACATTTTTTCCTTAATAATGTCTATTTTAAATGTTTTTATATATTTCACTGTTGTGTGGTTGTGTGTGTGATTGTAAGTGTGTCAGCATTTGAATTTTTTCGGCACTTCCTTGATAACTCGTAACTCTTTGGTGTGCCACGAAATTCCAGAAAGATTTTTTGTGCATCGCAGGTGAGAAAAGGTTGCGGAGCACTGCTCTAGTCTCTCTTGTACTAAAAAATTAGATTATGCTATAGTTTATATGGCTGGTCCCCCAAATACCTTTTTGTTGCAAATTAATTGTCTGTTCATTATCTTTTCTCATTTTTAGATAAATTATATAAAAAATATTTTATTTTGTTCACTAACTTCCACAAATGCATAACATGCTAACTTATGCATTTTTTTTTTTTTTTTACATTAACATTTAAGACAACAGTATCATAACCTCTCAGCTAACCATACTGCACCTAGGCAACCAACTTTTATAGTCTGAGAGAGATATTTATAAAATGGAGCTTTAGAAGCATCATGGGCTAGTCCAGTGTCATGGTGGTGCTGCTCATCATCACGGAACTGCTTCAGGATGTCTAACAGTTCTTTGTTCTGTACAGGATCATCAGCCATGAGTTCTCTTATTTGATTGTTATAATGGTCAGCTATAACTTCTTCTACAGCAACAGTGCATGCCATAGCACTCTCTTTGCCTAATAATGCTGTACCTAAAAAAAAAAAAAAAAAAACATAAAATAATTTGTAAGCTTTTAGATTTTATATTACGCCCAGAGGTTTTTTTTTAACGTTTTGTGTGTTACTTTTATTTATTAAATATCATGTTCTTTGCACTTAAACCTTAAAATTCAATTCAACAGAAACATCATAAAATATTTAAAACAGCATATCTTTAGATTTTCCGATACACAGTTTTATGCACTAAAGATAAAATAAACCCCTTTCATTAAGTTTGAGGGACTCGTGCACACATACATTATTAATTTTGAGGATTTTATATCTAAGATATGCAACTATTACTTTCAGTTTCTTTTTGAATGCTTAATATATCTCTGGTTATTAGTATCCAGAGACCCAATAACAAATATCAAATATTTAATTTCATTAGGGGTCTTTTGTGTCTAGTTCTTACTCTCACTCACATGGCATGTAAGATGAAGTGGTTGCTTGTAGAGTTACAATTACGATCATTTGTAATGATCATCAAAACTATGTGCAACTGCTACTACTAATTCTGGGATATGGATTATGTCAGACCGGAAGAATTGGCTAATTTCATAGAATCTAATACATGAAACATTCTGAATAGCTAAAGTCAATGTTTATACCAAGCGAGTGAGTAAAGATAAAAAATCAGTGCCAGAATTAGATGTGAAAAAGAGTGCTAGCTAAATAATCAGTGAAATAACAGTTAATGTATCAATTCTATAACAGTTGACTTTCCAGGCAATTACAATTATCAGTTCAAACCCTATTTGAAGCAAAATCTTAGACTTCCATTTTGCTACGACATGAAAAGGTTTACATATATGAATAAAAAGGGACCATATTTTTTTCCAAAGACAGTGAAATGTATGCTGACAATATTCAGAACAACTGTTTAAAATGCCCTAACAAAAGGACTGCAGTAATTTCCAGAGGTTCATCTTATTTTGCAGTTTTCTACTTATCACAACAATGTTATATTAATTTCTGAAAATATTGTTATGAAATGTTCAGCTGCAGTAAGATAGCTTCCCAGCAAAGCAGGTTCAGAGTTGCCAGAAAATGGCAAAGAAAGGAAGGTTTTCAAGATTTGGCACAAAATTGCCAATATGCCACAGATGGATGGATAACATTCTGGAAGAATTCTAACCGGTTTGGCCCAGAATGTTCTCGAAGGTAGGCCAAAAGTTGTATAAATCTTGCCCGTATGCAGAGTAGTAGTGTATCATGAGTTAAGTGCATTGCGAGAGTGTATTGTCAGGGCATTGTCGAGTTTTAGCTTGAGTGCATTGAGCTTTAAGAGCGATTGACCGAGTTGTGAGCTGTACTTTAGTGCTTTGCCATGCAGCTGTATTCACCGTTATAGCCTGATAGTCGGAAGGCTGTGTTGCTGATTGTTTCAATGTGTTTGTCATAGTTTTTCGACGACTGTAATGCATGCTTTGGAACTGTATTCTGTAATACTGGCTAATAAATTGTGTTTTAATTCTTTATCAAGTGTTGTCCTCAATTGCTCCAAATCCCCGAACCCGCAGAATGCAACAATATTTTGAAAATTTAGTTTTACAAAAATATAAAATTTAGCATTTTTCTGTAATCTGGTTATTTAAATTAAGAAAATGCAGAGCTGTTTTTTTTTTAAATATAAGTAAGTTATTTTATTACATATTTTTACTTCATTAATTATTTAAGGTACTTTTCCGTTTCGCCGGCGCAAATCTCGCCAAGCAGACTTTATTGGCGACACATAACGACAACACATAAAAATGTTAGTTCTAACATGTTTATTTGAAGGCACAACATTTTAATACATTTAAAATTCTGTAAAAAAGCAATAAATTTTAAAAAGGACATTATTTAAGAATTTACTATGCTTTCATGGTTCAACATTCTGATTTCGTTCGTATCACGCGATCCCAAGTGATTTCATCTCACGTAAACACGCTACAAAATTCTAATTCTCTCAATTCTACATTAATTTCAGTTAAATCTAATTTAGAATACCAAGTTTAAATGCAAGATTATTTCAATTCGTAGGATAGCTACTCAGAAATTATGTAAAAACCGCAGTGCTTTACGCTGTGCATTCTCATTAAACTTGACGAATTTGACCGTTGACTTTGTCTTTTCTATCTTTCGTCTTCGGGTGAGCTGTGTGATTGCATCCTATGACTTAATTACCCGAATGGTCTAGGGCATAAAATTGACCATCTGGTAAAAATTCTATGTAATTGTATGCCAGCATTGAAAATAAAACCCAATTAATCTGATAAAAAATGGCTTCGACTTTTTGAAAATGAAGTGTAAAAGGTTACCATCGAAGATATTTCGTTTGGCATCAGTTGTACCATTATTGGCGACTTTATCGCCTGCGCCGGCCAAACAGAAAAGTACCTTATTTAAAAACTGTGCAACTAGTATTTTGCTGGAAGGTTTAAAATATGTTGTATAAATATTTAAATTTACAAGAAGCTCTAGGGAACTGTTACCAAGGTTTAAGTACAAATATTTGACAATGGGAATTTTTAAATTTTAACAAAAATTTGACCACAAGAATTTAATTACAGGTTAAAAAGTATCAAATGTATTGTAAATGATTACAATATAAAAGTTTTAATATTAACCATAAAACAGTAAAAGCATATTTATGGGTATTTCTTGTTCAGTTCCACTGTTCAAATCCTGCAATTGCTGCGTCGAGAATACCAACTAAATTGTCAATCGAAATTTTTTCATTTACACTAACCTCTCTGTCACTTTCTATATGTCTTAATTTATTTTTTGCAGCAACTCCACTTTTTGTTTGATGGACATCGAAACATGTTTTCACTTTGTAGATCCTTTGGCAGCTCCAGAATCGGAAACTCTTTTTGATATAATCGAAAGTTCAAGCTTACTTTTTATAAAATTGCTCGGTACTACTCGGTGTCGAGGGCCGTAAAAAAATTTCAGCGAAAATGTACGTGCAAAAGCGCCCATTTAACAGTGCGCCAAATCTAACGTATGCGCTGATTTCAGATTGCATAAGTTTATATAGTTCTATATTTCTTAAGATGCCATTGAAATACTAGTTTAATTTTTAAATCCTTTTTTGATATCCTATGGATTTAACAATTTGGGAATTGCCCATGACGAAAACTTGGCAATAGAATTTTGAGTAAAGTGCAGAATCAGCGACTGCTTGATGTGTTTTTAAGAATTGCACATACTCGATATCCATGTGTGTACATTGACCTATTTTCACTTAAAAAAAAATCCTAGAATTGCCAAAATGGCACTGTGCACACCCTTGACTTTATCTATGTACACGCGACCTATTTCACTTAAAGTAAAGAAAATTGACAAAAATCATTGTTTTTTACCCTTGTAAAAAACGGTAACAAAAAGTGAGCGATTCTGCACTTTACCGAGAATATTTTCCAAAAAAGGCATTTTCATTTGGAAAATTACATTTGAACAACCAACGAGATGAAATTGCTTTAGCGTAGACTAGCGAAAAGCAATGCAGGCATCCATTCAGTCATGTTTAGCCTTTTTCAATAAATTATAAATAAGAAAGTATTATGAAATTAACCTTTCATCTAATTAAACATCAATCTTAATAGTTATTTCTATTACACTTCTTTTGCCGCAAATATTTTGGCCATTGGCCTCAACAATAGTTTGGCGATTTTTTATGGCCCTTGAAACCAAATAGTACCAATTACTCTAACAGTCTGCAAAAAATAATAAGCTGAATCTAATTAGAAGATTAAGGAACAACGCAATCTCACATACTGAAATAGATAATTAGAGCCTAGCTTATACCGGTTCGTTATACATTAAAAGTGCATGTGTAAATGCATTATGCGCATGCATAAATGCATATGCATATGCGTAAACACTACGCATGCGCAGAAAGTTTGTAGCTTTGAGGTCTGGATTATATATCATTCTGGATTATGGACGTCTGGATTAAAGACTTTGTACTGTAGTAAGATTAATTTGAAGTTTCTGTACAATTTGGAACGAAAGGGGTAAGGAATATTAACTGTCTGCTGTATAGATAAAGGTTTACTTAATAGCCCTTATAAGTGTCCTGCATGTAGGAAGGATATGTGTCTAGTTGAACGTAAAAACCATTTAGATAGATTTGAATGGGTTTATAGGAAGAAAAGTTCAGATATGGTGACGCCGATATATGAATTCGAGTTCAGATAATTTTAGGATGCTGTTAAGGAATTTTGTGTGCCACAGACTAAAGATGAAAAAACTTCTAAATAGGGTAAGTGGATATTTGCTTTTTGTAGTGCTTAAATGTATAACATGTTTTTCCTTTTTTATGTTATTTTAATGTTTGGTTTAAAATGTATTTTTTTGTTTGCCTGTATTGCAGAATTGGGTGCTCCTTTGACTTTTTAAGTGAAAATATATGGATGTGTACATGGACAAAGCGAAGGGTGCACATGCAAGTTTGTGCAATTCTTGGATTTTTTTTGAGTAAAAATAGGTCAACGTGTTCATGGATAAAGTCAAGTTCATGGATAAAGGGTGCACAATGTCATTTTTGTGCAATTTGGAGATTTTTTTTAAAAATGAAAATAGGTCAATGTGTACATGGATACAGAGTTTGTGCAATTTTGTCTTTGTGTAGTGGAGATTTTTGCACCAAAAATCACCATTATGCAAGCCAAAATAATAAGTCAAAGAATTGCACAAATTCGGCATCCATGTATCGCCAAGGTGTACCCTAAAATATACTTTTACCCAGAAGAGTCCAAAAATAAAAGTTTTCATAAACACATGCGAGCCAATATATTATTCGGATAAAACTGATTGCTAGTTCTGATTTGATGTATAAGATCAGGCATTTAAAAAGTCAATAATGTGCTATTGTTCAACACTAAATGAAATATTGTAATGTGTAATTTCATCGCCTCATTTAAATAAAGATGACTGAATTAAAAATTCCACTGAATTCTTTTGGATGAATTTTAAGGTATGAGTGACATTCTTTTAAAATGCATAAAGCATTTCTATAAACTTTTATTTTTCTGTACCTATATACCAAATTTAAGCACATGTACACCTGAAATTTTAATTTTTTTTTCAGTTATAATAAAATTGTTAATACTTACTAGCACCTAAAATAAAACCTGCAACATTCCAAAATGGTAACAACAAGGAAGGTCGCGCTCGATATTTTGGTAGAAGTTCTTCGAATTTTTTTAGATGTTCTTTTTCTTGATCCCACATTTCTTTGATAACTGGTGCAACATTAGTTCTACCCAAAACGGCCATTTGTCCAGCGTATATCCTATTAGCACCTAGTTCACCTGCATGATCTACTCGCAGAATCTTATCCTGAAGACTTCTTCGACGGTATATTCCAGTTCCTTGATAAGCTCTCGTAGCAAGCCCTCTCCTTACTACACTGAAAGTCATTACTGGTATTGCAGCCATACTTTCACCAATAGGATCTAATTAAAAAAAAAAAAAAAAAAATCTCGTTAAGTATACGTACACATTTTTCAAACCATATGGTAAAATCAATTGAAGTTTCCCATTTAACTATCAGTAAACTTCGAAATATGAGAATAAACTTGAATAGTTCCAGCATATGATAAGCACTAAATTTTGGATCATGAGCTTAAAAAAAAATACACACCTATTTGAATTTTACAAAATTTATTTTAAATTGACAACTTTAAATTAAAAATTCCAAAGACATATTTTATTTTAAATTATAACTTTATACATAGCAGGTTTTCAGGTTAATACTGTCATGTTACACAGTATTCATTTAAGTCTAAATCACAACGGAAGATGGCGCTATCGTACCTCACAACAATCGATCGCCTTGGTCGAATTTTACAGCTGCAAGGTTGAAAACACGCCGAGCTTACGCCATGCCATTACCTGCTCAGACTAAAATCTTTTGGCCTGTCTCGCGCATGACGACTCAGTGAATTTCTTAAGTTTTTGAGGTAAGTTTCGCTCTTTCAAATTCCACTTTTACTAAGAAAAAAGCAAAGAACCACTTATTTTCTTCCAGAGCCTTCGTATTTTTTGTTCAAAGGCAGCGTTAAAACAGTATAGAGCGGATTCTCGCGTAAGGATGACTACAGCGCAGTCGCAGAAAACAAAATGGCGATACTTTTAGTCGCAAGTTTAGACTTCGATTTATGTACAAATTTTGATCGAATTACTGCTATTGTACATGTTTAATGCTAATATCTTTAACCTCAGAATATCTGTTATCAATCAAAACTAATGAAAAGTACATACCATATGCCAGTCATTACAGTTAGCAGTTACACAGCGCTAAGGCAGTTTTCTCACAACCAGTCCGGAAGGAATGATCTAACTAGGGAATTTGGCGCAGACGCACATACATACTGCTCAATGGAGGTGCTCAGTTTTCCGATTTAACATCATAAGTAAAAGCTCAGCTGTAAAGCCGAAAAGTGGGCGTCTGCCGAACTTAAGGATTTTAATTTTTGTTCCTTGTATTGTATTTCGCTTTACATAAAATATCTTCATCTGTTAAATATGATGGTCCTGGCCTGGATACTCGGCGCTTCCAACTTGCTTTTAGCCGTCGACGTCGAGATGAGTTGCCGATCGATATTGAATTTCGTTAATCTAAGATTGAAACACCGGCATTTTCTCTTTTTTAAAAATGATGGTTAATTTCACAAACTATCATAACAAACACAAGCATAATTCCTTTTTATCTGTTCTAATTTAAACGTTATAGGAGTGTGAAATATTTGAAGATGATGCTCCGTTTGTCAGGTAATTCAGAAAATCCAATAATACTTCCTTGTAGAGCTAATATGTTACAGAAGTATTTGAAAACAAACAAACAAACAAAAAAAAAAGGTCATTGTTTTCACGTATTAATAATAATACAGACCATCATGGTCGAAATTTGGTTCAGTAACATAAAAGAATTAAAAGAAATTTGTATTAAAACTATTGTAAAAAATGAATCTCTAAAAATGAGATAAAAAATTATTTACCTTTATCCATAATCTGAAATTCTCTGTAAATCTGAATTCGTAAATATAACAGTGAAGAGTGATGAAGTTAGTTAAGAGTTGTTTTATATCTGTAATGAAAGAAAGATTTTAATTATAAGGTGATATTTGTTACAGTTTAGGAATACTTAATGCTTGTTGATTAAAATAATCATAAAGCATATTTCCAGTGGATATATATATACACTGCTGCTTATATGAATTGCTGTGTAATTACAAACATTTAGCTGGTGTTTGTTTTATATAAAAATATTTGTGAGCAAGTTTTTTTTATAACCTTATACATTTTTCAGATTTAAAACTTGTGAGTAGTTAAGATTTTATTAAATAAAAACTTTTTTAGGTTATTTAATTTTGGGAATTCTGTTCATGGTAAATGCAGTAATTTCACACTGAATTTATTTGATATTCATTTATTTATTCTTGTTTAAAATTTAAAAATTATTGAAATAATTATGTTAGTAAGCTGGTTATCAGTTAGTAGGATTGAGTAACTTTTATGCTTTTTAAGATCTTAAAAAAGTACCAAAGGTATTCTTTTTCCTTTGAACAAAATAAATTTTGTTATAATTAGATATATCCTTATTTGCATCTTCATATTAAAGAGGTTTGGTTTAGATGTGTAAGATTTTTATTTCAAAATACTGTATAAAAAAGTAGCTGTTTGATTCAATAAAAGTGTGTTTCTGTATCTTATTGGGAAAGTATAAATTAAAATTTTATATTATATAAACTTAAATAATTTAAACAGAAGATGAATGAAGTTCAAAATTAAAATCCAGTTTATGTAAGCTGCATTACTTCAGTGGCAATATGTATTAAATTAAAAACATAATCTGAAAAAAATTCAAATATATTCAGTTCTTGCCAATGCAAGAAATGGCTCTAGTGTAGAATTGGGTGCCCCTTCGACTAGCGACAATTTTGTAAAAAATTTTGGCGATGAAATTTCACTTCTGGTTACCATGATAGTTTTAGCTTCCTGATTTTATTTAAATTAAAATAGATTGATGTGTACATGGACAAATTTAAGGCAGTGCGCAATGCCTAGTTTGTGCAATTCTAGGATGTTGTTTTAAGTGAAAACAGATTGATGTGTACATGGACACAGAGTTTGTGCATTTCTTCGACTTCTTATTTTGGTTTTGTGTAGTGGCCATCTTGAAATTGTGCCTTCCTGGCGCCGATCTTGGCGTCAAAAAAGAATCCCCCAAAAACAAGGGGCAACCAATTATAAACTTTTACCCAAGAATTATTGTTAAAAATACCCTCAAATTATTGTTAAAAATTAACTAGAACTATGAGAACTGTTCTAAAATTTCCGGAGAAAGTGCAGAATCACCCACTGCTTGGCGCGTTTTTAAGTATTGCACATACTCGGTATCCATGTACACATCGAGCTATTTTCACTTTAAAAAAAAAAAAAAAATCCCAGAATTGCACAAAAATGGCCTTGTGCACTCCCATGTTTTTATCCATGTACATATAAACCTATTTTCACTAAAAAAGTCAAAGAAAACTGACAGAAATCCAATTCTTCTTAAAAAGCACCAAACAAGTAAGTGGGCGAATCTGTACTTTAGCCAAATTTCTAACAAACCAGTGTTGTTTAAAAATAGAATTCATCGAAAAATGATCAAGTATACAACACAAGTGCAAAAAATAATAAAGACAAATGGTTTTATATCTTTGTCAAGCTCAGCAGTTCAGGTGTTAAAGACTGCTAAATGCTGGTAGTTCAATCCCTGGCAGATGGGTTAGTTTTTCATCGTTTCCCTCATGTGTAGTGGATATATAAGCCAGAATATCACCCAGAAAGTCCTTTGTGAAGGCATCATGGCATTGACATATTCAAATAATCTATCCTGACAGTTTCGTCAGAGGATTGGCTTATTGAGAAACATGAAAGATAAAGCCTGTTTCTAAACTGACAAATGCATAAATACATGAAATTAATATTTAATCAGAAAGGTTGTTCAGTATATGCATTTATCAGCCCAAGCCCTACTTAACTTGCTATTATGAATAAGCATTGCACGTATAGCTCAAATTTCATACTTTTCGAGTTCGAAATATGGAATTTTTTTAAAAATATTTTCACCATCAGCATTTATTATTGTATTATTATTTATTACATATTTAACAATGGTATTTAAATAATAAAGAATTTTAATTGCTTTTTGCTGTTTCTAATTATACACAATGCAGCACATTTGATTACACCTGACATAATGTACAAGTTAAAAAATGTTACAGAAATTTTGCAATATAACAGAAAATGTAAACTTTTTAAGTAAGAAGTCTGATTTAATTACATACATGCCAACAAGAGAAATATTTAAAATGACTAAGAGATTTAGTTACTTATAAATATAACAAATTGTTTATATTGGTCTTAGAAATAAAGCTGTTACTTTTGCTAACTTATTATTATGCAAATTTTTTTTTTAATATGATAAACTTTAAAGCATGGTCCCAAGCATAATCTAACATGACACTTTTCATGCCAAATCCAAGTGTCTTTATGTCTTTATGTACTTTCTTTCTAATTTTCTCTTTCTTGGAGCAATATACAGCCTACTGTCTTCTAGGTTCCTTTTGTAAAGAATGTAGTAGTTTATGGCTGGAAAATGCCTTTCTACAAGACTTTCATCACTTGAACATTTTGGTGAACAAATTTAAAGCTTTTATGCAAATTTTAAACTCTGTAAAACCTTACAGAGCCATCTATCATCGAAACAGTGAAAACTAAGACTTGAATCCATATTGAAATAAAGGGAAAGAATTTCCATCTGTGATTTTTATGTGAACTCTAGTAATGGATTAACTTGATAATCCTGCTCAAATTGCAGGAGGCATACGCAGAGGGTTAGAAAGTTTAGGTAAGGTTATTAAGTAATGCAGATGATTAGTAAGTTTAGGTAAGGTTATTAAGTAATGCAGATGATTAGTAAGTTAATCTCATTTCTTTAACCAAGATTTACTATGATATAATAAATTCTTGGTAGTAATAGTTAAACATATAAAGATGTCTTCTAACTTATTAGTGAAAGGATATTAAATTTTGGATGTAAATAGTATTTTTCTTGGAATGTAAGACATAAATTTTTTGCAAAACAGTAACTACTCAAAGAAATTTATATAGCATTTCTGAGGAATATTAATGTGTCTATTTTTTTGCAAAATGGTAACTACTCAAAGAAATTTATATAACATTTCTAAGGAATATTAATGTGAATCGATTAGCATTTTACATATATCCTGGTCCTTAGAACTATACTGAATGTTTCATGTTTTCCATTTTATCCAGTTTAGGAAATTTCCAGCTCTTTTGACAAATTTTATACTAATTTCATTTTTTCGTGATTTTCAGACATGAAATAAATTTTCTGTTTTAAAAAATGAAACTTTCATTTAGGTTATAATGCCTTTGGGTTAGAAATTTATACATAAGGCTTTTGAGGTTTTTTTATCCATTCTGTTTGATATTGAGGAACCATTGATTTAGCAAACCAAAGCTCCGATGTCAGTTTTTCCATGATTGATTTCTTTTGCTTTTTATTACAACAAAGGTTTCCATAGAAGATTTTTTTTTTGCATGTTCATAGCAAAACCAAGTTTGGAGACTTAAATCAGTGCCATTTATTTTCAGCAGTCTTGTTGTTTTGTTGTTTTGCATTTGCAGTGTTATTGCCAGCCTAGAGACTTCTTATTTTTAAGAAATTCTCTATTTTGTCCCTTACCCCCTAAAAATAGTTTTAAAACTGATTTTACCTTTTCCTGTCAAAAGTTTGTGATTAGGAATGACATTTAAAAAAAATTGATGAGGTCAGTACATGACCTACCAATTCCATGTTTTAAATAGCAATGAGCTATAAGTGAAGTCTCACTTCCAGTTGGTAAACAAAATCTAATTTGTTATTCCAATAAATAGACAAGTCTGTAACTTGATATTTTGTATTACTGTAATTGCTGGCGTTATAAGACATACTTTTTTTTCTTTGAAAATAGGTCTGAAAAACGGGTTGCATCTTATACGTCCATACTCAGTTTAGACAGAGTTTTGCGATTTTTTTCTTGTTTCTTTGCGGAGTGTGAATATTACAATTACGTAGAGTTTAGTGAATGTGCTTGCGCTGTCATCGACGATCATAGCTGGGTTCATTTAACTTTCTATTTTCTGTGAATGACCATTTAAGTGTGTGAAATTTCTACTGTTCAGTTTTCTTAATTTGTTGGAAAGTTATGGCCTCAAAACGAGTTGGCATTTCTATAACATAGCATACAAGCTATGTGTGATTGCATATGCTAAAAAACATGGAAACAGGACTGCAGAGAGGCACTGTGGGCCACCCCCAACTGAGAAAATGCAAGAACTTGACGTAATCAGGAAGAGGTAGTAA